GCTTGGGCCTCCAGTCCTCTAATTTTTTCTTCCAAAATGTCGACCAGCTTGCACTTGGTGCAGATGAAATCCATTCTTTCTTCCAGGAGGAAGACAAACATGGCACACGCTGTGCAGGTAACAACAGCAGACCCATCACCAACTATCGCTGCTGTCCTAGAAAAGGGATTTAAAAAGAAAGGGAAGAGAACCTCCCGCCCTTCCCTCTCCCCTTCCCAACTCCCTCTCAAAACTCCCTGTTAGCACTCACCTGTTCGCTAGCTCCTTGGTTGCTTGCCCACTGCCTTATAAAGCCCCTCCCCCTACCAAGGCTCAGCCAATCATCTGCGCCCTTCCCCCCATTTCAGTTTGCCACAGCTGTGCTGGACAACCTAAATTTTCTCACTCTGTTAGTAACAACTTAAAAGTTGGCCACTTCCTGTTTTTAAAATACCACAGAGTCACATAAGAGAGCACCTGGAGTCGTGCAATGAAGAATCAGGTCCAAGAGATTATTAAAGAAAAAAATAAAACAAGTCTTGTGCAAAAGTATACTGTACTTTCCATGAAGAATGGGGCAGGGTAGTTTTTTGGTTAATGCACTTAACTGGAACACAGGGGAGTTCTCATTTCTGTTAAAGATATCCTGTGTGACCTTGACCAAGTCTCTCAAAATTAATGCTTCTCAGTTCTGCATCTGTAAAAAAATGGGATGACATTATCTTTACCTCAATCTCTGCCTTGTAGATTCTACACCCTTTGCAAGAAGGACTGTTTCTTATGAGTATGTAAAGCACTTCACGCAATGGCACCTGCTCGCCACAGAAACTGATATTTGGAATGGAATTTTTATAGAAGAAAATCTGTTTTTGTTATAAATGTTTGGCATTATTGTGAAAAGATTAAAAACATCTAAGGGAAGTGATGACAATGAGAAAGAAACTGGTTGCACTGATTTTTTTTGTAAGAAAGAAAAACTTATTTCCTGACTATTTCCGAAGAACTTAATTTGTATTGTCCAGTACTATAAAAATATCCAGTGCTATGATACTGAGAATTCACACATTTTAATGGACTTTCCATAGTAAAAAACTGGAATAACACAGTGGTGAATTAGGCCTTCACCAGTATCTTATTCTTTATTGAACTGCTCTGACTCAGGACTGCAATTGTGCAGACTTCAAAATGTCAAAGAAATTAACATTCTAAATTAACATTTCACAAACATTTCTTACATATATATGCAGCGAATTCATTCAACTTGAATTTTAATATAGGAAAATGATGTATCTATGGAGACCCACAATTTAAAATCTATTTTAGAAGATTCATTTTTCAAATGACAGGTACAAGTGGGCTATTTTAGCTGAGATTACTATTTATCATGTGCTTGACTGCAACTGCCACTGATGTCAATGATTTACAGAATCACTTTCTAATCTAGGGTTAGGTCGTGACTAACTCTGAGTGGGTATATAAGGTTGGAAAGGGCACAAGGAGAGAAGCTAATCAAAGTTTCCTAGCACGAGAACTGCTCTAGCTTCTTAAAGGATTGGGGCCTGGCAGAACTACAGCAGCTAAGAATATACCTTCTATGCATTGATCAGCACGGATGAGCTACCATTGTGGGCAGGAACCTCTGTTTAACACTGTAAAATCACTTCCCCTCTTCACGCATTTTGTGAAGATAATGCCCCGTCATTATTTAATCTAGAACAGCAGTTCCCAACCCTTTCCAGATGGGGACTCATTTTGAAAATTCAGGAAGACTTGGTGACCCAAGGCAATTCAAAAATGGGGTGATGAGGGGGGGCAGAGCCACCTGGGGAGACACTTGGCGACCCTTTTGAAATGTAATGGTAACCCATATTTGGGTCCCGACCCATAGGTTAGGAAACCCTATTCTAGAACAATGCCTGTGCTTCCTGTGGAATTGTGTTTCCTGAGGGGAAGCATTGTTATGGGGAAATAATTCTTCTCACCTCTATCCCACAGTCTTCTCTTCTGCAGATCAAAAGATAAAATTTCATGCCATGTGAAATTCCCACGTTTCAACATTTTTTTTGTGACAAATCAGAATAAAAGTCAAAAAATCAAAACTTTTCACAGAATGCTGAGTTTAATCAGAAATGTGGGAATGTTTCAACATTTCTCAATCATTGTGGTGTTTCTTGGGAACTGTAGTTCAGATGACTTATGATCCCCTTCTTCTTTATGAATTGGACTCTGAAACTGGACTACATCTCCCATGATGTAGCATGGTTTCTCCCTTTTGCTGAGATGCCAAAGTGCATCATATCAACATAAAAACTGGAGAGGAAAGGGCAACAAAGGAGAAGAAGAAAATGTTGGAAATTAGAAAAATTCAGTTTGAGAGAAAACCAGCATTTTAATCAGAAACACATTTTTATTGGAAATTACTCACAAGTTTTATTGTTTTCTCTATCTACTCCAATGTAATATGGCCTGTGAATTGTGATTAACAGCACACATATGTGTGTGTTCACACACACACACAAAATATATGGGGTAAAGATGCAATCCCAGACAGTAGCTGAGACGAGATAGAGAGTTGGTGAAGCTGAGCAATAGAGGCTGTCTGTGTTCTGCATAGCTTCAGATGTGAAGGGGAAGGCTCTTGCACCAAAGGAAGTGTATTGATAGCAACCTTCAACTACCTGAAGGGGGGTTCCAAAGAGAATGGAGCTACGCTGTTCTCAGTGGTGGCAGATAACAGAACAAGGAACAGTGGTCTCAACTTGTAGTGAGAGAGGTCTATGTTGGATATTAGGAAAAAAATATTTCACTAGGAGGATGGTGAAGCCCTGGAATGAGTTATAGGGGTGTAGGCATGGATGTATGAAGAAATTGTTAAGGTCAGGCTTGACAAAGCCTGGGATGGGATAATTTAGTTGAGATTGGTCTTGCTTTGAGCAAGGGGTAGAACTAGATGACTTCCTGAGGTCTCTTCCAACCCTAATCTTCTATGATTCTAAAGTATAGAAGAGTCAAAGATTAGGAAGGCCAGGAGAGGATTAGAGAAACTCATGGCCTACAAAAGTGGCAATTCTGCGAGTGTTTTTTAAAACAAGGAGGGGGAGTCTGAATAGAAACGGTGAACTAAATGATGTTGTATGAAGAAGAGAATGGTACGATCACTTGTCTTTGTATTTTCTTGTAACCAATTTGGGTTTTAAACAATTTAGATTTTTTTATTTGTTATATTTCTTTCTATTTACTTTTAAGTTTTATGTGGCCTCCTTTGTCTCCTTTTCATGTGCTGTTTTATGTTCTTTTGAATGTTCTATTTCCCCCAACAGATTGCATTTGACAGAGTATAATATCCAGGCTTCCAGTAGGCACTAAAATTCAGCCCTTGACTACTTTGAATATGCTCCTTGCAGAACTTCTCTGGAAATCTACATAAGAGCATCACCTTAATGGATTTTACCTATGCTGATGTCTTTTACTTCTGCTTAACAACAGGATGCCACAGTCATTGAAACCATTTAATAGAGCTAGCATCCCGAAAGTTTTAAGATGCACAAAGCTGCAATTAGTCAATTAAGCATTACTTCTGGTACAGTGCATATTCCTGTTTTGTAGTTTAAAGTGACAGTCTGTCTGAAATTGAACAAAAGCTGGTGAGGGTGAAAAAGTTGTTTGAGAGGAGCATTGATTATCAACACTTGTCGGTGCCTTAGAAGCAGGGAAATCATTCCTGAAATGTCTCAGATAACTCATAAATATGTTGACAGATATGCTCAGCAATGTTGACAAATATAATTTATCCCAAGGGCTTAGAAAAAAATCTTTTCTCAATCAGAAGAAAAAAAATTTGGAGTTCTGTACAGCTCAAAATACAGTTGGCTAAGAACCAATCTGGACAAGTCTGAATTGTTCTTACTGGTGAGGGAAGCAACCGGAGGATGTGGTAAAAGATATAACCACAGCCAGTACAGAGCCAAATTCTCAGATGGCTAGAATCCAGGGCCTTCAGGTTTGAATTGTCAAAACCAACCCAATCAATTTAATCTGGAAATCATAATAGTGGCACAGTATGTTTCTGACATGGAATATTAAATAACAAATGACACTATATGTTCTGGACTAGCTGCAATTTCAGAATGGTCCCAGAGTATACCTCTAAATACAGCACTTTACAGTAATCTAACCTTGAGTTGCCTAATCAAATAGTGGCCCAGTCCTTACTGAAGTCTGACACTGAGCCAGATTTACAAAGCTATTTATGTATTTAAAGATATAAAGAAGGTACCAAATAGGATTTATCAAAGTGCTATAAATACAGGTGAGGCATCTAAATTCCATGGAAAATCAGGTGATCTAGGTGCCTAATTTGCTTAGGCACTTTACTGCATCCTTGGGTGCCTAAATACCTTTGTAAATCTGTCACCCTGTTCTTAAATGGGTATGATGAGAAAAAAAAACCTTCTAAATTTGCTACTACCTAGGATGCAGACATACCTGGCGTCAAACAAGATCCCAAGCTTCTGCTGTTTGTTTCTAAAAGTTACTTTAGGGTCTTAAAAAAATCCGGGATTTTTCAGATGCATAAGTAATAGCAGTTGCCAGGTCTATTTCGGAGAGTTGCTCATATCAGGAAGGCTTCATCATTTCCTTCTGTGGTACTATGGTCATCCAAGACACTTGAATTCATAGTTCCCTTGCAGACAATATGTTTATCCTCTAAAAATGCATATTCAGGGTGACCAAAATATTTCACAAATTCCTGTTGAATTTGCCGAGGTTTTTCATCTGAAAATTTTAAAAAAGGAAAAAAAATCCAAAATTATTGAAAAGTTTCATTTTGATGTTTTATAAATGTAATATTTGAAATTTTCAAATCAAAATAATCTTTTGTTTTGAAATTTACCTTGTTTTTTAAAGTTTTTAAAAAATAGCCTGAAAATAAAACATTTAGTTCAACATAAAATGATTTTTTTTTACTTCTGCATTTCTTGGCAACTGAAAATGATCCCACCCTCATCCATATTTTGGATAAGCTCCTGAACTGAAAGTCTGGTTATTTGCACAGTTATAATTCCCAAAGAAGTATGTTTGATTCTTGAAGTCCCTTCCCTTGTTTTGCTTGGATGTAAAAAGCGTCTGGAAGGACTTCAAGACAGATCTGTTTTTAGGGTCTTTTCTTGTGAAGTAAGATTGAGTATTTTTCTGAAGGTTCAAAGGAGGGCATGGCAGAGATTTTGTTAGAAGCTATTGTCATGCTGTCTGGAATGGCTCATGAGTGCCTTCCTCAGGGCAAACTCTTAAAAGCACCTTGAACTGTTGGTATGCTCCGTAACTGGATTTTACCAATACAATAACAAATGTGAATTCCTGAATCATTTTGTCAGACTTACCATGGAGTCTCAGGCAATTTCCTTAGCCCTGGTCTATACTGCAAACTTATGTAATAATAACTATGGAAAATCCATACACCGAGCAACGCAATGATGCCACCCAAACTCTTGGTGTACACAGTGTTATGTGGACAGGAGAAATCCTCTCATCACTAGCAACAGAGTTACCACCTCCTGGGGAGTTGGGGAATCTACATTGTGTAGAGAAGCTCTCCCATTGCCACAAGTGACATCTTCACTAAGCACTACTGTCACACTTTTGCTCTGGTGTAGACAAGAGAGCCCAGACTACCTCACCACCAAAGCAAGCTAGAATTTGTGATAAATGGTCACTTTTATGCCAGAATCACAAAATTCTCAGGGTGCTTCCAGTCTATGAAACCAATCACTTTCCTAGATCAATTGGTAATCTAGATGTCACATCACATATAACACCTGTAGCCAATTCAGTAATATGCCAACTGTGGGGTTAAGTAGAAAAAGAATTTAAAAAGTTAAAGCAAGCAAATATATAACACAAATGAGATGCAATCTAAACCCTAGGCATAACAGATTTATAGTGATCTGTTAATTCAAAATATTTTTCAGGGCAAATTAAGGAATCACCCCAGAAAAACTCTCACTTCAGTTTAAAATTTTTGGCTCCTGAGACTTCAAACAGAGGAAATTAAAAATCTTCATGTCACCTATTCTTATTACTCTCTTCCTGCATTCAAACAAGTCTTTCTTTGCAGATACTTCTCCATGAGTGGATGGGGGCAATTATTGATAGTAGTTTTGGATGGGTAGGGAATTGATCAGGGAGAGGAAAAGATGATTTTGAATGTTTTCAAAATTATAAAACATTACGCGTATATGTCCTTATAGCAAGGAATACAGACATTACAAGTGCGATTAATGCTTGCAGCAATTTATAAGCATTTCACAGTCTAAACACTAAATACATTTTAATATGACTAATACCTATTTTGAAAAAAACTAACATACAGTTGAGATGTTTTGGTTTCCAGTATAAGTTTGTCAGTTCTTAGCTAATATCTACGCTAGTGTTGGTACCGGTTTACCAGAATTACAATTATAATTAAGCATTTCTTTCTTCTTCTTCTCCCTCCAATTTCTACAATTTAACATTATGTCATGAAGAAATATAGAATTAATTCCTCAAGGAATGTGTCTATATTATCTGCATTCAGAACCACTTTGTTTGCTCTTCTAAAAAACTGCAGATCAGTACCCTGAGTCTATACAACCCACTAATTTTGGAGAGATGTGAAGTTCTGAATATGTCCTCTTAAATAATTAAGCATCTCTGAAAGAGAAAGGAAATGCAGAGATAAACAGAAATGTCAGAAGATCAATGTATTAAATAAGGGCTTATACATAATCAGCATAAATGTATTTCCATTTTATTCATGTATTCAAGTTATATTATCACACTGGTTATTTAGAAGAACAGACCACGAGAAAGATGGATTTTTTTTCTAGAAAAAAAAATGGATGGAATGGAAAATGCTCATTCATTGAAATAAAAACAAGTTATTGGAATGTTCCTGTTTCCATGACTCTTCTTATGAAACACAGACAGCATTCAAAATTCACCAGGTTTTCTGCTATGCCACAGTCTGTTTCCTTAGCAGCCCACCAGAATGCTAAGGCCTCCAAGATCTATGGGCTGGGGACTGGCCCTAAGCCATAAGAAGTATCCACAAGATGGGGACATCAGGGCTTCTGGGCTTTCTGCTGCAGAACTGAGTTTCTGGCAACCTTGGAATACCTGCTGTGAGTGGGGTCAGAATCCAGGCTCACAGGTAAAAGAACCTGAAAACCAAGAGCCCCAACTGGAACATAACCTTCTAGGTTTCTAAGATCTGGGGGCCTGGAAGTTCAGGGGGCTCTCAGAGCTCCCATATTCTTTGCTGCAGACACAACTGATCTGGAACACTCCGAATTTTGCGAGGTGGAATTTACTCATTATTTGAGAATTTTTCAATGAAGGGAAATTCTGACTTTTGAGTGGCTCTGCAATTTTGCCACAATGAAAATAGCCATATTTGCCCCTGTTGAAAACCCAAAAGGTGTTTTCACCATTGAAAACAGAAAAATATTGCCCCACTGTGCCAAAAGGTTTATGTTTTTACTCAGTAGATAACATTTTTAGGTCCTTGACTGATGAAGTTGTGTTTGTGGTTAATAATCTTCACAGAGGAAGAAAAATAGAACATTTCCTGACAGTTATAATACACATTGGAAGGATCTATTTGAAATACTGAAATGATTAATGGTAGCTTCTTAGGTTGTGTCTACATTGTACATGGACCTCGAAATAAGCTACGTAATTTGAGCTACAGAAATTGTGTATCTTATTTTCATCATATTTAAAAATAACTTATTTCGAAATTTGGCACTGTCTACATTTCCAAATCATCCCTTACTCTTCATGGAATGAGGTTTACAGGGATGTCAGAATAGCAAGTCCATTATATTTCAAAATAACAGGCATGCTCAAAAGAAACAGAATAGCTATTTTGGGAAGTATCCCAAAATAGCACCGCAGTTTAGACATTGCCTTGGGGAAAATAACACCTCATGTAGTAAGATTTGCTGCTTCTCATGATCATTCTCCAAGATTCACATGGCATAATACTTCCATGGTGGTAAATAATGAAAGCACAACAACAAAAAATTCACTCAAATATTCTGCATTCACTCTCTCTCTTTTGATTGCTGGATGTTTTCTATCTCTTTCTGTTTTCCTAGGCCTCAACCCATTGAATCAATAGCTAAATATGGTACTAAAACTATGCCACTGAAAATGGAAATATTGTGTTAAGATTCACAGAGAAAGGAACAATTATTATTTGTATTATAGTAGAAATTCAATTGGCCCCACTAATACTAGGCATTTCATAAACCCCACAGTGAGGGGCAGTATGTGTCACGGAAAACTCAGAATCTAAGGAGACAATGGATAGAAGGGGAAACAAAGGCACAGAGAGTTGAAATGGCTTGTCCTAGGTCACAGAGTAGGTCAGTGTAAGAGCTGAGAACAGAGCCCACATCTCCTAAGACCCAGATCAATTTTTTATCCACTAAGATCATGTAGTTTTGCATGATCATTGCCCCACGCTCCCGATCAACCACTTGACTCTCAAGTTACAACTTAGTTAATTGCAGTACTTTATTTACAGATTAATAGTTTTTCTAGACCAATAGTCCTTTGTGGTTAATTTATATTTAAAAATACCTTATAATTATGCAGAATCCTTCCTCCCAAAGCACTTTGAACAATACATGTGCTTTAGAGTGTGCACCACATTTTGTTCAATATACAAAAATGAAAATATACACTTTCGGTCAATATCATTTTACTGCAGAACACGCAAAAATGACAAAACAGAGAAAGAAAAAAATATAAAGTCTCTTTGAGAGACAGAAGGCAAAAGAGAGCTCAGATTATATGTTTGTTCTGGAAGAATCTCCCTCTTGAATCGCCTCACAACCCATACCACATCAAACACATAAGCAATTTTTGTTTTAAGTTGCAGTGCTAAATATATTACAATGTAGACAGCGTTAGATCAAATGCTGAGCCACAGATTCCTCCTCAGAGACTAAATAAAGAGGACATTCTGCACTGATGACAATGATATAAGGCTCAATTTTTAGGAGGGAAAATAAAGAACAGTATATTCAACTGAAACAACAGGAGAGATTGGGTGAGTGGGGCAATGATCATGTGAAACAACATGATCTTAGTGGATAAAGATTTGACTTGGGCCTCAAGAGATGTGAGCTTTAATCCAAGCTCTTCTGCTGACCTAATCTATGACCTAGGACAAGCCATTTCAACTCTCAGTATTTTTGTTTCCCCTTCTACTCATTGTCTGCTTAGATTCTAAGTTCTTTGTGACACATTCTCCCTCTCACTGTGAGGTTTATGTGTGTGAGTGTGTGTGCACACATTTAAAACAGACATTTAGTTGCTTTTAGAGTAATCTGCCAAGGTATAATATTTGATTATGGTATTATAAGAGTGTAATCTGGCATTATCTCTATTAGCATAAAATAACTCGGCCTGCTTTGACCAAGTTCTTTCTACTGCAGTGATAATGGGGATCTTCTCACAGCATGGAGCCCTTCATTTCAAGTTCTTGTCAACCCCTTAATTTTGATTGCTTCTCATAGCTTCATGTTTCACACTGAGACAAATAATGGGCATTATAATACAACGTGGCATGTCAGCAAACCTGAGGCTGGCTCTGTGTCCAAAATACAGATTACATTTGTAATAGTTGGTATTGAAAATGACATTTCCAGTGAACAGGTTGCCAGAATGTGCTAATGCACCATTTTCTTTCTGTTTTCTTCAATGAGGGTAAAATGTAATTCACTTGA